GAATTATAGGCATGCACTACCACGCCCGGCTGATTTTTTGATTTATTGTAGAGATGAGGTTTCGCCAAGTTGCCTCCCAAAGGCACAGGATTACAGGCTGAGCCACCGAGTCCGGCTTAAAATTCATATTTTTAAGGTAAGTTAATTGTTTTTTTTTTTTTGAGTTGGGAGTCTCACTCTGTTGTACAGGCTGGAGGACAGTGGCATAAGGTCTCACTGCAGCCTCTACCTCCTGGGTTCAGACAATCCTCTTGCCGCAGTCTCCTGAGTAGCTGGGATTATAGGCACCACACCACACCAGGTTTATTTTTTGTAGAGACAAGGTCTCCCTATGTTGCCCAGGTTGGTCCTGAACTCCTGGCCTAAAGAGATCTTCCCATCTCTGTCTCCCAAAGCACTGAAATCACAGGCATGAGCCACAGCGTGTGACCTTACAAAGACACTGTTAAGAACAGGAAGACAAGCCACAGACTAGGAGAAAATATTTTCAAATCACTACCTGATAAATAATTTTTATCTAATATATATAAATAGCTCTCAAAACTGAGCAAAAGATTTGAACAGACAACAAAAGATACACAGATGGCAGATAAACACAACAGAAGTCACTAGTCATTAAGGGAATGCACATTAACACCACAATAAAATACCACCACAGCCTTATGAGAATGTCTAAAGTTGAAAAGACCAAGAGCACCAAGTGTTGGTGAGGACGTAGCAACTGTAACTCTTCCACTGCTGGTGGAAATGTAAAACGGTACAACTAGTTTGGAATACAGTTTGGCAGTTGTTTAGAAAAAATTTAACATATACCACATGATCTAGCCATCCTACTCCTAGTATTTACTCAAGAGAAATAAAAGCATATGTCCATTCAAAAAGCTGTACACAAATGTCCAGATTAGGTTAATTCCTAACAGCCAAAAAATGATAACAATCCAAGTATCTGTCCACAAGTAAATGGATAAACAAAGAGTAGTACATCCATTCTATGGAAAACTACTTGGCAATAAAAAGGAATAAGCTGTTAGTATATGCAGCATGGATGAATCTCAAAGTGATTATACTGAATGAAAGAAACTAGACCAAAAAAATAGTATAAGTTGTATGATTCAACTTAAATAAAATTTCATTTAAAAAAAAAAAGCAATTCATGACCCGCCTGGGCAACTTGGCAAGACCTCATCTCTACAATAAATCAAAAAATTAGCCGGGCGTGGTAGTGCGCACCTGTAGTTCCAGCTACCTGGAAGGCTGAGGCGGAAGGATCGCCAGAGCCCAGCAGGTCGAGGCTGCAGTGGCCAGAAGCGGCCACTGCACTCCAGTCTGGGCGACAGAGTGAGACTCCCACTCAAAAATAAACAAACAAACAAATAAATAAATAAATACAAGCAAATTAAAGAAAGATTACTGGTTTCCTGGGGGCTGGGGGGAGGGTGGCATGGGAGAGGGTGGTATAAGGAAGAGGGAAGGACCACAAAGTGACATGAAAAAAATTGGGGTGGGTAATAGATACATTATCTTGACTGCTGCAATGGTTTCACAGTTATAAACACAGTCAAAAGTCACCAAATTATGTACATTAAACATGTAGTTGATTATACATCAATTACACCTCAACAAAGCTGTTTTGAAAACACAGAATATCAGGCAAAGAGGGAGGCGAGACACAGTACAAACACAGGAGGCAAGGTGCAAATCTAGGGAGCCTAGCAAGCTATGCAGGAAAGGTTAGGGAGAAGGGGCCAAGACAATGCTTGGGCCAAGACAGATTTTCTCATATATATCCCAGCTCAGTGTGACAGATGTTAATTCCAAGCATTCAAAATCCCAACTCTTGGTTATTCTATCCTTTGTATTCATTAAATTACTTAAAAGAGGGGGAAGAGATTAACTCTGACAGTCTGTAATCACTAGAAATGTAACTTTTATTCAACACAAAGTTCAATGGAAAAAAGAATTTAAATTTTCTTGTTTAAATAAATAATACTATATGTAAAAGACTCGAAAGGATAAACATATACCTAAGAAATTCTACCTCATAGGGCTCCAGTTTTAAAAATCTAGAGATGACAAGATTCCCAAAACTTTTTCAATCTAAAGAAACCAAAATGGCAAAAACATAAAACCTTCTCCAAACTAGTGAATTTTGTGTTCAACTCCTAAAAGAATCAAAGATGCATATGGACTCTTTGTATAGATTTATACTTTTAGAATATCCCATAAGCAGTATAAAACATAGGAAATATGCACAGCAAACTCACCATTTGTACAACAGATTCTCTTAATCGTATTTCTTCTTCAGTCATGAGAGTCAATTCCTTGCAGACCATGGCTGCCAGCCCCACATCTAAGCATTCTGGATCTGCTGCCATCTTGAAAATGAGCTCCTCATGTGAAAAGACACAATGGCGCCGAAGCCGTCGGTAATGATTTACACACTGACGTCCGATGGGCAACTGAAAATGAGACTTCCCAATTAAGTAACGTCCTTGTAACAGATTTCAGCACAAAACCACTATTTACCCTCCAAATCCTCCATTTAGTTATAAAGAAGACAGAATAACAAATGCCAATATAAGGGTCAACTGTAAATATTAACCCTTTACAAGGCAGCCGGAATCTTAAAGACCTTCCCACAGAAAAATCCTATAATCTAAGATGCTAAATTACTGACCTAAGCCATTGATTTTCTATTATGTGCATCAAAAAGCAGTAGTTCCTTGCAAAAACTCTTTTACACCAATTTAACATGAGCTTGTACTTACAGGAAAAAAGTTTCAGTAAAAAATAAATTTCAGTAAAAAATAAATAAATAAATAGAATTTAAAGAGTTCAATCCAAAAGGAGTTAAGTGGAAGTATTCAGCATTCAAATTTTCACAAAGAACAGATGTTATTAGAAGGGGGGGGGGGAGGAAAGAAAGGGAAGGGAAAATGAAAGCTAACACGAAGGGCAAAAGAGAAAAAAAAGTACTACTTAAGCAATCTACATTGGCTGACTTTTTTTTTTTTGGCAAGAACCAAAACAAAAGATAATTTAGACTCTAGCATCTAGAAACTATTTAACAAACACTCAGACTAGCAGAAAGATAATTCAAAAAAGTGAAATCATGAAATTACATACTTTATTTTCCCTAATAAATAAATGATGAAACGAGCACATTTTATAAATGAACAGATAATCTTTTTAAGACACATTCTCAAAATTTCTGTAACTATCAAGTTGTAAGCCAAAGAATAATATAATAAACAATATAAGCAGAGTATAGCTAAACTCTATACACACACATATGTACACTCCAATTTCTTTCTTATGCTCAGGCAGAAAAACGTGAATGGTTAAAGGAGTTTTTTTGCATTTGGAAACTGGAATATAAAAGAAAAATTAAGGAAATGGACCTTTAAGAACCTCTTGTAATTCACCTAGATTTTGAGAAAGACAGAAAGGAATCAGAGGAATCACAGAGAAAATGACACTATCTGAATCTTATGCAGTGTTTCCATACTCTTCAAAGAAACAAACTTTTTTTTTTTTTTTTTGAGTTGGAGTGTCACTCTGTCGCCC